GGCAAAGTCCACATAATAATGAGCTACCTTTTTAGTTCAATAAATGAACTAAAAAACCAGCTCATAATGAGCTAAATTCCAGCTCAAAATATTAATGAGGTAGCAAACCCAAGAGTAGTCAAAAACCAAAATTTAGGATTTGATTTGACCCCCCCTGCCTACATCATGGTATCGGGTGGAGGGGGAAGACGAAATAAGAGAACTAACCACGAACCCAGACTCTTCCAAGGCTGGTGGGTGATGCGATTCCCTCTCCAAGAGTTTTCTCTCCCAAGCACTCTCAAGCTCTCACAAGGAACTCAAATACTGGAAAATTTTTATCATTCATTCATTAAATATGAAAAGAAAACATAAGGACTATATATAGCCTCATACAAAGGACTCAAAAATAAAAGACGACAATGCCCTTTGGACATGTACATGACCTCCCTTAAGGGGTAAAAGTAGAAAATAATAAAAGTAAATACAAACATAAAATAATAAAAGACAAATACATAATACGACTCAAAAATACATTGACTCAATTGTGGCCGTAGATCAACAACCACGTCTCTGATAAATTTTCCAAGCTCTGATGTCCCCATCAGAAGCTGTACATTGAGAGGCAGTTAGTGAACCCTTCATTTTTGACAACATTGCTAACATTATTCTGAAATTTTGGATCTCACTAGTCTACATAGCAACGTTTTAAAAGGCGAAATCGAGAATCGAGGCGTTTTGGCTAAGCGAGGCGAGGTGTAAGCCTCGAGGCATAAGCCTAAAAAATGATAAAAATAAAGAAACTTAAAATTATGAATAAAGACAAAAAACAACAAAATATTATGTCAATTGTGAATTTGATGATTCGTTCTAAAATAATATTAGTATATTACTGGAAAAGAAGATTTAAAATAAACTTACTTAAAAATAAAATATCCTTTTAGGATCAAGACCCAATGTAGACTCAGCATCACTTTGATTGTTTTCAGAAGAATCTTCATAATTAATATCAAAATTATCTTCAAACTCTTCTTCATCTATAATATTTTTTCTTTTATCCCCTATATCAATTAATATTTTATTAGCTCTAGAATGAAACAATAATAGCATAAAAAATAATTTATTATATTTAAGAATACCTTTAAATTTTTTTAAGCTCCAATTTCACTTTGTTTCTTTCTTTTATATACATGAGTAGTTGCTTCATTGTCTTTATTGACATGAGTTTCTGCTTCTGCTTCAACTTCAGAAATATCAACATTCTTCGGAGTAACCCATTCATTATCGGATTGTAAATCATCAATAAGTAAATGATCAATTTCATTATCAATGCTTCCTTGCTTCTGTAATTTGAGATGTCTATCTTTCAATTTTTTTGTTAAATATAACATAAACTAGTTTGTTCATTCAATTTGTTGCCAATCGATTTCTTCTCTTAATATGAATTTGATTGAAGATGCTCCAATTACGCTCGCAAGCAGAAGCCGAACATGTTAGGCTAAGAACTTTAACTGCTTTGTCCCCTTAGACAAACATCCATCCCAGGTCTACAAGCTCCCCTTGGACGAAGCAACCCATGGCTGCCGAATTCCAATCCATATTCATTGCTGCTACTATATGCCAGATAACATGTATTTCTACGTATCTGATTGACGGCTAGCCTTAATCGAAAGTTCTCTCTCGTGATCGGGAGGGGTAATTAACTATAGGGGCTTGCGCCTATAGGAAACCAGAACTCAGATCATAAAGTCCTCGCAAAATGAGGGCGAAATCTCTGGGTAGTGTCTTATCTACAAACCCATCTGCCTTCCAAAATTTACCCCGGAACTTAGTTCGTTAAAACTCCCTCGCCGAATAAGAAAAGCGAGTGGAGGCCGAGGCCGAATTTTCGGAGCCCACAGAGATCGTGTTTTGTAGCATGCTTATACAGCTTTAAATCCAAACATTTCCTTCTTCAAATGAAATTCCTCAAGTTGATCATTCACTTTGAGGTAGTCTTCTTCATAAATTAGTCTGTCCACAAATGCATACAAACCAGTTTTCACCTATTTATCAACATTAAAGTCTTTATCATAATGAAATTGATGGTTTAAATAGTATGCAGGAGCATGTAAGTATTGGTGTAATTGACAATCCCACTTTTCATCTATAATATATCATATTTCTTTGTAGGTATTTACTTGACCTCCCAAATCTTTTGCAATATCTTCTGTAGCTCTATTCATTGCTTCATAAATAAATCCCATAGCTGGGTCCCTCTCACCATCAACCATTCTAAGCACCTTAACTAATGGTGTTGTTGTCTTCAAAGCATAATTTGTACTGCGACAAAATGAATCATCTTTTATAATAATTTTTTACCTGTTTTCTTTCTTATTTTTTTGCCTATGAACTTTTATCCCATTTTTCAGAAGCAAACATAGCTTCCAAAGGTTGTCTTAACTCCTTGAATCTCTACAATGTTAAATATGCAGTAGTAAATCTCGTAACAGTATGTCTAATAATTTCCTTGTCAGCGAATTTTCTCATCAAATTGAGTACCCAAGAATGATTGTATATGAACTTACTAACGAATTTGGCCTTCAATAGGGCTGATTTATGCTGAGGCAACTGTCCCAACCTCTCAAGTATTAAATCAATGCAATGTGCAGCACAAGGAGTCCAGTAAATATAAGACCTTTTCTCCATTAACATTCTCCATATGCACTTACATTATCAGTAACAACTTGTACTACTCAAGCATCACCCACTTTCTAAACAACTTCATTCAACATTTCAAACAATAATTGTGCATCCTTTATAAAACTTGAAGCATCCACTGATTTTAAAAAAAAACTGTTCCATATAGATTGTTGACCAAGAAATTAATAATACTTCTATGTAGAATATCTGACATTATTGTGACTCTTGTCTCAATCCAAATCTTCTTAACATCATCCACCATTTTTGACGTTGTCTTGACCTCCTCATTCAGCATCTAAGTTCTCAGTTCATACATGCTTGGAAATTGTAATCCTCTTCCATAGCTTCCAACAGATCGTAACATATTGATGCATGACCGACTCCTAACAATATTAAATGAAATCCTATTTTTATAGATGAATCTGGCGATATCCAAACAAACTCTGTTCCTGAGTTCTTTTGTAGCAGTAGGAGGCTGAAGATCCTGAGTGTTTATGTTATCCTCGTCATCAATATTTATCATAAATTTATTCATGGGACCCCGAGTGCCTCGGTTAGAAGAAACTAGATGGCTTTCACTACTAGAACCTTTATATTGTGATCCATAATAAGAAGAGTTTCTCATCATCTCTTACATATTTATTTGTGTGACCTCCTTTGTGGTGGCAAACTTTTTTAAATAATCTATACATTTCTTTTTCACCTCATCATGTACTTTTGCACATGGTCTCACATTGACATGAGTGCATGCTAGATGATCCTTCAACCTCTTGACACCACCAGTTATGCGTTTCTCACAGAAATTACATTTCATATAAACATATCCCTTCTTTGTACTTTCACCTGACACTTCAATTTGAGTTCCATATTTCCATGCAGGATCTTCCCTTCTTGTACCACTAGTCATGCTAATAATTTAAAGAAATAAATAATCAACATCAAATTATTGATATATACAAGATTTTTATTTATTCACAGGTAAAGAAATCACAACACAAAATCAACAATAGGACAGATTTTAACAATTATTTGTACTACCAATAATAAGACAACAAGAGGTACCGAGTAATAGGCGCTGGCCCCCGGTGGGGTTCGACCTGGGTAATTTTATTGTAAGAGTAATTTTGAAATTCTGCTTGTTTTTAAAGTTCATAAGTTGTTTGTATGAAAAGATACCAAGCGATACCGAGTATGTACCTGACGGTGTCGAGCATGTACCTAACGGTACCGAGTGGTACTGGCTCGGTACCGAGCATGTATTGGCTCGGTACCGAGCGGTTCCGAGCATGTACCTGCGCCGTACCGAGCATGTACCTAGCGATATCTAGCAGTACCGAACATGTACCTAGCAGACGAATGAAAGAAAGCCGAATCAGGAGTTATTCAAGCTTTCGTTACTGCACGTCAAAGTCAAAGCCCACAACACCGCTCACCTACTCTTCCAACCTAACCGAGGCTTGAACGTTTCCTGCACTCACAACTTCGGCTTCGTTTCCTGCTTTCAAAACCGTTATTATTTTCGGCTTCGTTTCTTGCGTCGTCTCCTTCCGACTTCGTCTCCTGCACTCACGGCTTCGTCTCCTTCCCTCATGGCTTCGCCTCCAGTTCTCCTTTCAATTCTCACAGGAAGCCTTAATCCTATATGTGAATACACGAACACGAATCGGCTGCGTCGTATTTACATATATACCGAAGAAAAAATTTCGAGGCGGTGCCTCGTACTGCCTCGAGGCAGTGCCTCGTACTGCCTCGAGGCAGTGCCTCGTACTGCCTCGAGGCGTTATACTCTGATGTGTATGCCTCGTGTGAAAAAATCGTAGGCTTCGCTGAATGGTTCGAGGCGTAAGCCCCGATACGCACGACTTCCGCCTCAACTTGAGGTGCGATTCAATGCGGACGGCTCGTCCGCTTTTTTAATGGTTGCTACATAGTACATAGTGTAGATTAACAAAATTGGTGTAGTATTCCTAATCAAACGTTGCATGACTGATAAATAACTCTGAAATAAAATTGTATGGAAAAATGTCTATCCTCATAGAAGGATAATAGTTTATCCTGGCCTATACAGTCCACTCACATACACTAGCTTCATATGTAATCATACATTTGAAGAACTCTCATGTCATCATATCTTCATTTTGTATTGCGATTCACAGAGCCACATAAAACTCTAATCAGCAATCAGCTTTCAAAATTACCAAAAACAAATAAACATTACCATATTTATACTAAGAATAAATAGAAGTTACTAAGATCAGGAAGAAGTAATAAAAAGTGAACTTCTAATGGATTTGAAATAAGTACAGGTTAATAACAATAGATGATGTTAGTGGTATTACCGAAGGCATCCATGATCTTTGGATCCCCACCGGGTGATTTAAGATCTGGGCAAATCAACAAAAAGAGACAATATTAGCTTTCTTGTCTGCCCTAGAAAATAAAATAACCGTCATTAGCTCTGGAACTGCATTTTGTCTGCATCAGAAAGCTCATCAATTTGTAAATATAATGATAGCAAATACACTAGCCACTCATCAATAGAATTAAGATTAAAGTTAATCAATCCTACATTTTTTTTTTGTTAAAATAAATTTTGTTTTTTAGTTTAATATTCTTATTGTTTCCTCAGCTTACTAGCACGAGCAGAATTACCACTTAGTAGTTTATAACCTATTTCAAATACAAGGCACATGCTCAGGTCTAAGAGAATAAAATATTTCATTTTGTACATATTGCAGGTGCTCCATCTGTTGACGGTTTAATTTGGTAGTCTATTACGGGATCTGTATGTGATCAAATGTCAAATTCAAAGGTTCATATTAAGCCACACAACCATCATGAGAAATAGATTAAAAAAATGCTCGAAGATGGGCAACTGCAGCACTATCATTTGCAACAGAATATGCTAAGATGGCAAATAAAGGGAAGGCAAATATCATGTCGCAAAGTAATTGAACTGTATTATTGTTTAGCATTTAAGTTTCAAACTACATAAGATGTCATGTATGTACTTCTACAGGACCTCTATAATCATTCAAAAAGTAAAACCTGAAGTAAAAGGCACAATATTCAGCTATGTCCACAAATCTGGAAAAGAAAGTAAATAACAGCAATAACTTTTTAAGGTATGTAGAGACAATGCTCAATTCCAGTCGTTTAAGCTAAACAAATATCAAGATTTAGGGGAAATAAATCACGGAGAAAGGAAAAATAGTTTTAATTGTTCACATTATTGGAATGGCTTTTTATAGCGACAAAAATAGCTGTCAAATTGAAGAGTGCGTCCATTTTTATAGTTATGAACTCACACAAAGTCGGAAAGGAAACAAACCAGATGCAGGGTGCCGGAGTAAATTTAGTCTCCGTTGTTGAGCGAATGCAAGCACAACAGCATCTTCCACCTAAAAATCAATGTGGGCAAAAGAAAATATTGCGAACCCGAGTTAATTGTAGCAAGATTAAACAAACGGTTTAAAAAGGATTAGAAATCGATTAGGATGAAGACAAGTAGCATATGGTGCACCGCAGTTAAGGCAAAACCAAAAAATTCATACAAGAAGGCATGAACAGAGATAATCGGACTTATTCATCTAGTTTATTGGTTTGGATCTGATTCCAGAAATGAAGGAGAGTTGAGACCAGTACCAGCCAGTTTGATTCAACAAACATGAAGTAACTCTAGCGCAACAATGTTGACACATTTTTGTGCGAATGGGATTGAATTTGGTTCGACGGGGTTCGATTTGGCAAATCGAGTTCGATCGAAGACGATCAGCTCCGATTTGGATCGAGTCGGCACAAAAATTTGTCAACAAAATAACCCCTAATAGGTGTGGTTAATGAATAGAAGTACGACACACGTATTGACGTTGATCAATAGTGATCAAATAAGATCTTCCAAATCAAATAGGGTATGATTTGGAAGTGAAAGAGGGATCTATGAAAGCCTAAATTTGGATTAGACAAGATCTACGAAAATAAAGAGATTTCTTTCAATCACCTTAAGGAAGAGTTTTAGATGGCTCTTGGAAGAGAGATTTAGAAGTATTTTGCAACTTCTAAAGAAATTTCTAGGGACATTTGGTATCTCTAGGAAGGTTTTGGTGTGATTAAAAGTGTTCTAACGACTTCTAAAAAGGCTTAGGGATATGTTTCTATCTCCTAAATAGCTAGAGGGGTATTTTGGCTATCACCTACAAGTTCAAGGATACCTTTGGCTATCAATTGGAGAAAAGATTAGAGATATTTGGTGTTTCTAAGGGCTAGGGGTGTTTTGGCTATCACCTACAAGTTAAAGGAAGTTTTGGCTATCACTTGGATAAAAGATTAGGGACATTTGGTGTCTCTAAAAAAATATCTTAGGCATATTTTGTTATCTCCTAAAAGTTTAGGGGCATTTTGGCTACCACCTACAATGCTTTCAAGGACATTTTGGCTATCACTTGAGGAGGGTTTGGAGACATTTGGCGTCTCCTAAAGGGGAAATTATTGGATTCGGACACCGGACGTCGTCCGAAGCCAATGAAAATGCGCCCACATCAACCTCTACTCGATATTGAACTCGGTACTGAGCAGTACCAAGATGCACCGACACGAACACAGCGACACGAACATGACACGACATGGACACGGGACACAAGATTTTTTAAAAATATAGGACACGGGTGCGGCGTGGACACGGCATAATAATTTTGTAATATAATATATATAAATTAAAGTAACATTATATTAAAAATGGCAAGCAATAATAAATCAAAGTAATGATAACTTATTTAGCTTATAAGTTATAATATAAAGATGTTTAGTACAAAATATCTAGTACAACCACAAAAAGTGAATGCATTTTTGTAATGAGGATTTCTTGCAAGGTTGAAATGAAGTCCAGCTGAAAAAAACATCCTTACAATTTCACAATCCAATTCCTCTCGTTGTTGCATGTTAAAAGCCTTCTCTAAAGCACTACTTGCAACTCCTTTTCTTTTCTTTGAATCATATCATTCACTTCTAGTTGAATCATATCATTCACTTCTATATGATAATGAATGATCAACTCTAACATATGAGGAAGAAGTGTGGGATGAACCATGGGTAGTGGCAAAGGTATCACTTTAGGAAGTGCCCTTTTGATCCTAGATTCAGCATCAACTTGTCTATTCAATTCAATCAACTGTGACGTAGTAATCTTAGGACACATTTTAATTCCATGGCCAAAAATCTTAAGTAGATGTGCTTTCACCCTACAATAAGATCCTTTGTAAGTGCCACTTGCATTTGAATGACACATTACATCCTCCTTCAAAATTTTTCCTAACCTTGTAACATGAATCCATAAAGGCTTATCAGTTTCTACAGATGGCTCTTTTGAACCACTCCCACCAGCATTAGAGCTCATTTTGCTTTTAAATTCACCAGTAAAGTAGAAGAAATAAAGACTTAATAAATATTTTCAAATAAAGTTAAAAAATAATTAAAGAACCATTGCATCATGCGTTATGCCGGTCAGGTCGCGGGGTCAAGGGGCAGCACCCACTGCCCCCGGAACAAAAATTTTATTGTAAGAGTAAAAGCGCAGTGAAAGCGCATCAAAAGCGTAGTGAAAGTGCAGCAAAAGCGCGGTGAAAGCGCAGCGAAAGCGCAACAAAAGCGCAGTGAAAGCGCAACAAAAGCGCAGTGAAAGCTCATTGAAAGCGCAGTAAAAGCACATCAAAAGCGCAGTGAAAACGCATTAAATAAACAAATTTTTTTGTAAGAGTAATTTTAATCCAAAATAAATAAAATACTTTAAAAAAATATGCTCTTCCGATCACAAATCTACAGAATCATTGATAAATGAAGAGAAATGACGAATGGAAAAAAAAGGCGAAATCAACTTACAATTTTGAAAAAATTTCTCCGGTTTAGCGTCAGCTTCCCTCGGCTGCGCGTTGAAATTAAGGAGGATGGCTTGTTGCTTACAGCCGGAAGGGAAGACCAAGGGTGCGATCTCCAGCCGACCGCTGCTCGCCTCAATCGCTTGGGAAGACCATGAATACGAATAGGAATACGGGATTAAGGCGAAGATGAAGACTCGGGTATGAGCCGACTAATATGAAGGCACGGGTATCCGACACGCGTGTCCAGTTTAATTTTTCTTTTTTTAAATGGAACACGCTAATGACGTGTTCGACACGTGTCCTCGCCGTGTCGGACGCGTGCCCGTGTCCGACGCAGCATACCCTCTTAAAACGAAGTGTCGATGCATCATCGAAAGGCATTTGATACCTATTGGAAAGTTCTAAAGGGTATTTTGGCAACCAATTAGAGTTAGAATTTATCTTATCTGAATAAGATAAAAGTCAAAAGAAGCTAAGACTAAGAGTATTTGGCTACTACTTGAACATTAATGATGCTTGGTACAAGGTCACCTATTTTGACTAGATAAATCTTAAACTTTGGGAAGACTAAAGGTATTTGACAACCACTAAAAGTCTAGATTTTGATAGATCTATTGATGTTCAATTTGGGTAGAACAAGTTCTAAAAGAATGAGCTAGGAAATACCATAAAAGGTTTGGATTCTACCTAAACTCACAATTTTCTAAGAAGACTCTTGTTTGGGGATGTCTACACTTAGTATTTGGGACTAAGATTGAAATTTAATTTTTTTTTAGAGAAAGAAAAGATTGACTTTCCTTTGGAGAAAGATGAATTTGATTTCCTTTTGAGGAAAGATGGAAGATTTGAAATTTTAAACCACGGTTTTGGTAATACGGACCCAGTCTACAACCAGATGAAAAGAATATTTCTATTTAGAAGAAATACCCATTCATTGAATGACAAATTTGGATACAATCAATTGTATTATTTTTGAGGTAACATTAGTTGATAGGCAACATAGGACGTTTATCATTGCAATCAATTAATGGTAAGACCTACCTTGATAGGCTTTTTCTACCACAAAGGGGTCCTCCCAAGTAGGCTCGAACTTGCAACCAATTTTGCGGAGAGCTAGAATCGGTCTGCGAAGAACTAAGACTAAGTCGTCAACCTCAGCGGAGTCGCCAAAAAACCCATTGGAGAAATTTTGTCATCCTCAACGGATTGAGATATTTTGTGATCGAGCACGGCATAAAAAATAATATATTATCTTGAAAGACAAAAATATTATTTTGATATAGACTTGATAACAAAAATCTTTTAATAGAGATTTTCCCCATTCAATATTGAATAGAGTTTATTTTATTCTGGGATACACATGCTCCATAAAAGCAAGCCCTATGATTAATTACATATCAAGCATTTATTACTTGAGAAAACTTTTGATTAAATTAGTGGTTTCTTAAAGTTGTTGACCTACCAACTGACCTTTGTATTGTAACGTTGGCACTCTAGACTTACATAGAGGATTGCCAATATAAAAGGAAGTCTCCTAGATCATCCATCCATGGTGGCAAATTACTATGAGATCATAAGCTATGGAGTTTTATGTTGCTGATGTCAGGGTTGAGGGCCTTCTTCATGGTTGGTGGCATCATCATGGACATTAACCAAAGAGTAGAGAAGAGTATAAACAAATAGCAATAGTGGCTAATGATGAAAGATAAGATAAAAGCATCTCACTTCTCTATTATCTCCAATTTTTCACATTAAATGTTTAGAGATTTGTGTAATTTATTTTCCATATTGCTTCAATGTCCATGCAAAATTTGAGATTGGCCTAGATTTTCTTATCAACATTTGTTGCCCTCTATTTTAGAACTTATTTAAAAAAAATGAAAAGTAGCTTATTTAAAGAAAAAAAATATGAAGAATATTTTTCTAGTGTACTCCAAACAAAGGCATGCAAGGAGATCAATTATCATGAGGCTATTTTTTGAAGTAATTCCTTGCAGCAAAGCAATCAACTTAAATAATATTACAACATTTTATTCTTAAGTAGAGAAGAGGCTAGTGTAAGTCAAAGCCACTTGATCACGTTTGTCACATTAGAGTTGAGACCGGCATAGCTCAAACCACACCACCATGTACGTAGTCAAAAGCCAACGGTTAAAAATTAGGCATAATGCTACCTTCACACCGAGAGTAGATCAATGGTGAGATACAATCCACTGCCATGGAATTTCAAGAAGACGATAGTCGAGGACAGAGACACTTTAGTGCTACTTTAATTAAAGAAGAGGATACCATCTTTCTATTTGGGATGGAATGGTGTTAGCTTTGTGCATCAATTTTATATTGGGTAGGCTCTATTCGGCTTTCAGAACTTAATAGGGCTTGAACAATTTAGAGTTTAATAGGTTCCTTAAACACTTTTCTTTAGGTTAATAGATGGCATACAAAAGAGACAATTTGCTAGTTTATCCTCTCAGGCGATCATGATCGATTAGGTTTTTTTTTTTTTCATGATCGAGTAGGTTGAAGCCACTCCACCGCCCATTTCTCTAGAGACTTCAAATCAAATATAGGGTGGATACATTCTACCTAAAGCTTCCCTTGAATTGAAGTAGACTTAACTAGATCTCTCCAACTGGAGGTCAAACTCTTGCGAAATAAATGTCAAAGCGAGAAAGGTCTAGAGCTCACATCACAAATACTAGGCAAAAACTTTGAAGAGAAGGTTAGTACATGCCACAGTCACAACACTCCAACTATATAGTTGGAGTAGAACAAAGACATGTTTTTAGTGCTTGCTTGGCTCACTAGATCGAGATCAATTATGTCAGTTACTATGGAAAGAAGGGTTTTGATTATTGGTTCGGCTCCTAGAGTTTTCTACCTTTGAATTTATTTATATTTGTAGCCATAACCCCAACCAACGGCCAGATCCATAAAGGCAAATCATACCCCAAATCATAACCATCATCCACCGTATCTCACCCAAATCCATGTCCATCTCGGTCAAACTACCTCTTAAGCATTTAATTCCCACAAGATCTTCTCTTTAGGTGCTACTACTGCAGAGTAGCTGCCCTCCTTCCATCCATTGCTCACTCTTCATGAACATATGCAACTCGGCCCCAGCAAGAGAAGTCACCAACCTTCTTTCGTACCTGAAAAACTCATAAGTCAAGGCATCAACCAGTCCCAGTTGGCTCCAGGCCCATTCAATATTTAAGCCCAGTTCTGTTTTTTGTGGAAGTGCAATTGATCACCAATACAAAGAGCTGACATGCACTGCACCGCTAGAATGTGGAGCTATTTGAAGTCTAGATATGGTGTTTGCACAACATAATAGCTACATCATATGAATGAGAAAAGGGAAGTCGCAACCTTCAATGCTGCAAGTTCTCTCAAACCTTGCTCAACAGAAAGCATACTCTCAATGTTGCCTTCTCCAGCTATATCACTTAATTCACGTACCAGTTTATTTCTCCCAGAGAATTCATTCCCTAAGAAAGAAAAAGAAAAGAAAGGATATTGAGCATAAATCTAACTAATATAAATACTAATTACCTGAACTCACTTTTGTCCTTTAGTTACTTGCCTTTATTTGATGATTCTTCCTTTGCCTTTTGTCCAGCAGATATAACAACTTCGAGTGGGAGGGGAGCTAGTGAGGACCAGTACTCATATTTGGATGCCGCCATATCTAGATAGACACCTACAATATTAAATAAAATAATTGCACAAGTTGTCTGCTAATATAATGATCAAGTATAAAACTTAGTTTTTATATTTTTGTCCAACCAAGGATTTATATGATACAGTTGATTTTTTTTTTCCAAATAATCATGGCATATGACTTTCCTTTTATAAGAAAATAGACGTTAATGTTCAAACAATAAACACATGCACACATGAATACATAATAAAGTTGATAATACATATGTTGCAAGCGATGATAAAAAAAAAATTAAAGAATTAAATTATTATATTTTAAGGCCCCGACTTCAATTAAAATGATTAAATATAGCAGAAATTTAAAGTAAAATACAGGCTGAGGAACAAGACCCTTATCCCCCTGACCTCAACAAATGATCGAGTACAAGAAGATACCACAATGGGAGAAGCTCTAGAAGCAGGACCAGTCATATGGGAAGCATCACATGAGCAGTTGGTGGAGTGGATGGGGTGAGAAAGGAGGAAAGGCTTGCAACCACAGGAAGTGAGGACAACTTGTGCAAATTGATAAGTGGTCAGTCAAACAAATAGAGGATGGGCACCACTCAAGGTGCTGATGCCTACGACAGTAGATCCTAGATCACAAGAATAATGCCCCACAACCACCAAAGCACAATCATGCACGACAAAGTGGGAAAACACCACACGAAGAAGACAATGGAGCTAGATCACAAATCGCAAGCGCCTTACATGTGCAAGTGTCTGGAAGTGTCAATTTGGGTTGACAGAAGTGTCAATTTGCTTGATCTGACCTGAAGTTGAACAAACCAAAATCTACTTGACCATAATCCAACCTTCTTATTATATATGTCAAAATATTTGAACCAAACAAACCTAACCCTAACATGATTCCTCCAACCCGTTTATTATATAAATCAAGCAATTCTTTGGATAAAAGAGGCCAATTAACTCGAATATGACATTTTAACCTAATAATATACATGTCTAGTTTAACAATGTGTTTCTAGCTTTTCAAAACCAAAATCCAAATAGTAATCTAGTCAACATGAATAGGATTTTTTTTAGTCAAGTTCATGTTGAGTCATTTATTGACACCCCTACAGGAGCAAAGGCACGAAAGCCATGCACAAGGGCATCACGATCACAACAATCATCACCAAATAGGAGAGACCCAAGAAGATGACAAAGCTTACATAGGCAAGAGAGAAGGCTCTCCACATAGGCAATGCTAGGTACAAGCAGATTGGATGCGGAGTACAGAGTGATGATTACTGAGAGAAGATGATGTGCCCTATGCGTTGAAGAAGAGCCTGCGCGAGTTAGAAGTCCACAAAAATGGAGGAGATAACAAAATAAGTTTAATTAGGATTAACAAAGTTGTGTGACACATACAACCACAACTATTGTATGCCCATATTTTGCAAATGTTCTTAACATAACTTTGTTTGGAATCCAATAATTAGTTGTTGCAGAAATTCTCTACCTATTGTTGAAAAATTCTTCCGTTCTTAATTATTTTAAGCTTTGGCTAATGATCATGATCGTGACCTATTGTACTCTATCTTGTTGTTGGAGCTTATCTATCATGTGGAGCCGCAACTCACAGCCTTGTCTTTCAACTTTTTGGAGTCGCATCCTTCAGCATTGATAAATATTTTATTTTCCTTATTTATGAATCCTCACATGATGTTCTATCACCACGGTGACACCAAAAAGTGCAATCCAACCCAATCAAGTCAACTCCCATCAACTGACTAGAGCCTTGCAAAAAGTTGGGCCAAGTACCGATTGAATGAAAAGAATTCTCTAGTGGACTAAATTTGTCAGAACATATTTAAAGGGTAATGGGAGGCTTCAACATCTTCTAAGGATAGGAACGAAGATAGGAGATCTAATATTTGAAGCATGGGATAGAGCTTACGCCATAATCATGTCTTAGCTGTAGGAATTGATGGACCCATCAATTAGTCACATGACCACTGTAAATGAGATTTGGTATTCCATCACTGCACCTGATCAAGAGCTTGTGTTGCAAAGTATATGAAATCAAGTGAAGACTAGTAGAACCAAATAGGAAAAACAGAGATAATCTGCTAATTTGATGAAAAGCCTATGGCAAAAGATGGGTCACTAAGGTATCTGAGATGAAGTGCTTGAAAGAAGTCATTTTAACTAATTTTATTAAAAAACTTATAACTTTTTCATTGGACAAAATAGTATTCAAATTCTTTGAACTAAGGAAACAACTTTTGGGGTAAACAATCTCTTTGATCCGGGCAAAAGAAAGTAGGTGAAATATTGTGTTAGAATCTGAAAATCTTAGAAAATTCAACATTGGAAACCAAGATTGGTATGAGAGATGGAAAACAGACATATCGAAATATTCAATGAGAGAAAAATAAATAAATAAATAAATAAACTATGGTACACCTACTGTAATAAATCAAGGCATACAAAGGCGCATTGATGGAAAATAAATGGCAAATCAGCTAGTTGAGAAAAAGGAAACTAAGGACAACAAAGATCTCAATTCTACTCTCATCTAAAAGAATAAACTCACCATGATGAGGGTTAGGTCAAAGGAGAGCCCAACCTTGAAGAATTCTAAAAATCAAAAGCCTGATAGAATCCCTTGGTAAACTTCTAGTGCATGTTCATTGGCATTCTCAAGTATGTCTCCCAAAAAGTATTTGGGTAACTCTTGGTTGATTGACCTAGGAACCACATGAGACAAAACTCATACCTCATAATTCTTTAACATTTATATTCCATGCCCTAGCAATAGGTAAATCATTGTGGCAAATGGTTATCTTGCTACGATTATAGGACTGCGAGATATATATGTAATATCCTCTCTTTTCCTTAAAAATGTTCTTCATATACCAAACATATTAGCAAACATTGTCTCAAACCAAAACTTACAAAAGATCTTTAAATGGTTTGCAATTTTTTATCATTCTTAATATGTTTTTCAAGACCAAGAGTCAATGGGTAAGATTGAACCTGCCAAGAAAAAAGACGAGCACTACTATCTTGAAGCATTGGGAACTCCAAATAATGTCACAAGTAACTTGTTATTCTCTGCCTAAGCTCGTCAAATAAGAATGTCATTCGGTTTCAAAATTTTCGTATTCTATTTGATCACTGATTATGCTAGAGCAACATCGCAACATTATCCCTAACTTCCATTTCAAGATAAAAAATCAGTTTGAAATAAAAATTCTAAAAAAAAAACTTTAAAACAGATAAGGTAAAAAATTATTTCAATCATTTTTTATCTCCTCTGCAAAAATAAGGCATTTCTCATGAATCATATTGCCAAAATACACCACAACAAAAAACAATTTGTTCAAAGAAAAATTGGTTACTAGCATAACACCACTTGAGCATTATTATTTCACGATAATGTTCATATGTCTTATTGGTCGCACAGGTGGGTGGGTATGATTGCCGGGGGGGTGCGCGGATAACTCATGAAATGCATTTTAAAATTGTCTCAACACATTAGGAATTTTAACGGCTTTATAACTAAAATATTTTAAGTGCAGTTCCTAAATCAGAGGTAAACTTGACCCCAAAGGCCATTAAATATGTATTTCTTGGCTACACTTCTATAAAAAAAAAATAGAAGTGTTAATATGTTATCATTCTTCTTCTAGGACTTTATACTTAGTTGATGATGTAGCATTTGTTAAAAACAAACCATATTTCACACAATCTAATATTCAGACGATGTCTTGCTTATGAAAGATAAAGATAATCAAACATTCTTTAGCATCTTAAACTTCCTTCGTGTTGACCTCTGTACAAAGAAACAACAAGAGCAAAAAAAATGCAAATGCCTACGGTCCATTGCAGGAGGCCTGTTGTACATTCAACATATGGTTTGTGAGCAAATGTGAAAGATCTGCAATACATACAATCTCTCTAGAAATATAGATGTATGTACTACATGTCATTTGTGGGTAGATACAGAAAGACTTCAGTAAATGCAATATCCTGAAGTCAATTTTAGCCTATGAATGAATACATCTACCTGCTTATGAGAAACAAAAGCGAACGTACTGAAAAGGCCAAAGACTGTAGCCACTTGTTGTACACCTAATAGGTAGTCCACAAGAAAGTCACAAGGGAGTTGCAGCATATGCAAGCATATACAACTTAAAGCAGGAGATTCGTTAGTACACTACAATCTACCTGCATAAATCATATAAGTAGTGCACGACAGTCTACCTATATAAAGCAACAAACAACCCAATTCATAAGCTATTACGCCACGCCATCGGATCTGCAACACATGCAAGCAAACAGAAGGCGTCTACAGGTTACAATGCCATGCCACCGGATTTGCAACATTCATACAAGCGGACATAAGGCGTTTTTAAATATTGCAAAATACCCCCGCACATGCACCGTAGTTTGTATACACATAGCTTCATAAGGGGTAAATGCAATCACAAAACCCGCATGGGCCCCGGCGAGCGTGTTGTAAGTATACATGTAACGTCTAGGGATGCTGCGCGGGTCAATAAGTGAATTCAAGTTCAAACCCGATCCTTTTATGCGGATCAATAGGAGTCGACAGGATTCGAACTATCAAACAAATATACAGTTACGACGACCGATATACTTTTTTAATGCATTCATATTAGGCCTTCAAAGCCTATAACAATGAGAATTTACTAATAAAGGCACAAAGCCTATGAAACCCGACCCCCTATCGACAAGTTGATAGAATCAACAAGGTTTAATCAAATGAAAATAACCCCGTACACCCCGATAATGGCCGTGTTGAATATAAATCTCAACCACATGGGTTAACTCCAAACATTTCAAAATATTCTCAAACTTCCACAAAAATTCAAGTGAAATACAAGTGACCTTAAAGTCACCCCAATGATGGCCGCCGTGAAAGTAAATCTCAACCGGAGAGGACCATTTCAAATAATTCAAAATACCACTCCATAAAGTCCAAAATCCAAAACACCTAGAAAAATCTCAAAATCCAAATATTAAAAA